CAAAAGTAAGATAGTGTGCATTTACTAATTTTTATACGTGAAGTGGAAAATACTAAAATGCGAGAAAAATATTTGGATGAAGCATACACACACAGACACACACATATTCACTTTTTTTTATATACAAGAAGCAGAGTTATATTTGAAGAATTACCTTTATTAATGGAATCAATAATGAAAACGTGATTCTCGTTTTGTCGTCCGGATACAGCACAAATGACTTAGAAAGAGAATTAATTTGTCTGCAGGTTTAATTACCGTAAGTAATAGAATGCAATCGATAATCATTATGCATTGGAATGTTCCAAAGAAACTTTATATGTGCTACACAACTTTTCGCGAAATAAAAATTATGAAATAAAATACCGACAGTATATATGTATATCGTTAATATTTGGCGTATATGTGTTAATCAAAAGAGTATCAAATATAACCTTGCGACTGTAATAGGGTGAGGTTTTCCGAGAACTCTTAAGTCATCGCAAAACACGACTTGCACGTAAGCGCTGCCGTTGCCTGCGGAAATTACAAGCTGGAATTGCGCGGAAATAACGCCTCGAAAGATCCGATGTTGCGCGAATAAAGTTACGAGTAATACAGTGCTATTTGCGTAGTCTCTTATTTAAAAAAATAAGTAGAAGCTCACAGAACCTTTTGACAGAATCTGAATAATGTGAATATGAGACAAGAGAAAAAAGTGCATACAAAGCTGTTGATCGGTTAGGGGGATATTTAGATCTCAGACATTTAATTCTCAATTTTTTTACGTTTTGAAAATCGAATTATGTATAGATTAAATTCAATTTATTGTAAGCCGTCACGTAAAAACGGATGCATGCTTTTTACATTATATCAAAACATTATCTCAATGGCTCGCTCTGATATATTGATAGTTCGAGTCCGTTGCATGGGGAAACTGAGGAGATAAGTTACGACGTACACGTATTTGCGAGACCGATTAGTTTATCGTTGCGGGGATAAGGATGAACGTATAAAGCCGTGGGCTAAATTCGGAGTAACTCTCTTGCATGTAATGTATACGTAACCTCGCTTACAGTATATGCATTTCGAATTAAATCACGTGGCGTGATTGGACAGGCGCGTAGGAGAACCACAGAGTTGGTTGCACGGTATATACGCTTGCGAGAAAACCTTTGGGACGTCAATATCACAGTTCCGGAAATCGACAAAATGTCAACTCCTAATGGTACATTAACCTTAGATCTGTTCAGTTATTAAAATCACAGTACAACTGTTTTTTTAGGTTTGAATTTCTATCTCTTCTAGAAGAATGGAGAGAATTTAACGGAAGTATGTTTTTTTTGTACGTGTGGGATATTTAATAATCGAATGGAATACAATGATAGATATATTTGTATATATTTGTATATAATTCAGAAAATAATTTACAAAATTTATTATAATTATTATTTTTGTTATTATTTTATGCTGCTTATTATTGAAAAATATTATACAGTAATTTTTTTTTTTTTGTTAAATTGTTTTCTACGTTAAATTTTCAAGTAATTTAAATCGAGTAGTTGAAATATTCTGTTTAATTTCTCAAAAACATATTTTATACCCATATACGCGATATGTCGACGTCTGGCATTGGGCCAATCATAGAAGACTCTTTGGCCGAAGTTGAGCCTTCTGTGTTCCCTGTTCACTGACAACTTTTGCGGACTCTCGGCGAAAACTTTTGGAATTGTCGCACGCTAATCAGGATCTCTGCTTTAATCATGAGATACCTCTGACTTTATACCTTTATTCCTAGAGTTGACTTTTTAACCATTTCATCATAAAATGACGCGAATTGTTATTTTGATTTATTATCTTATTGTTATATATACTTTTTTTTAGCGTAGAGTGACGGGTACAAGATATAAATGTCAAAGTCTGTTTCTCTCTTTCTCTCTCTCTCTCACGCACACACCCTCTCACTCTTACTCTCACTCTCACTCTTACTCACACACCCTGTGGCTCTTTGCCTTCAACAGCGCGCGACACCGTTGCTATATTTGGTGCAATTGCCAATATCGAACGCCAACTGCAGTTACACTGCCTGAGCAACGATAAAGTTATATTCGTCATCGTTCGCGCGCCGATCACATAGAAACATAGATCGTTGTATTTACAGAATACGTATAAATAAATCGCAATGTACCGCGTTGCGATACTTATAAGTTTTATTTTAGAAGTATGCTTGCTTTCGAATTCTTTTAGTGATCGATAGTTTGTGGACAACGAAATATAGCGCGTTTTCATATAACAGAATAGTAGTCTACAAACTTTCTTCACGACTTTCGTGCTAATCTACATTCATTTATTTATACGTATCTATGTTTGCAGCTAATACTGACAAAAAACGACGCGGAATGTATCTATTTGCTCGATGTAGTTGGCGAAATTATGTGAAAACCACGAGTCGACCGTTAATCCTAAAAGTGTTTTCTCCACTTTACCGAGTTTCGACATTTTGATATATGAATGAAGGAATGGGAGAAAGGTAACTGCGAAGCCCACTGTATATCCTAATATTAACGGGAAGCTTTCTCCATTAATATTGCACGTGTAAGCACGTCGTGTACAAACTAGGCTTCGATCATAATAAAATTTTTACCACGTTTTAACTTTTTGACGTATGATCAAAAAAAGGTACAAGGGTGTCGGCCATATTTCACGTCACCCGCTTTTCTCATAAAACTCGTACCCATCCGACGTGGCCAAAGGGTCTGACAGATTCATCAGCGGTTCGATTTATTTTTTTCCCGCTGAGTTCCAATCGAGCACCATGATCGTTCATGATTTTTCCTATCGCGTCCTCTCTAGCTCCCACCGAAACCTTAGAAAATATCACCCGGGCATCGCACGGAAAGTGAGAAACTCGTTTCCTGAACCACGTAATAAATCGCGGCAGCCAGAAGTCAAGCAGTGTCCGAGTGCAACCAGTGCGGAAAAGTCGTGCCACGAGAACCGACGCAAAACGGTGCAAAGCAACGCCGACGTTCAAGTGGCAACAACCTTTTCGTCTTCGGTCACGGATCTCTACATGCGATTTCAGCTTTTCTTAGCGTGCCGTTTGACAAGCGGGTCTTTCGAAACTCCGAAACAAATCGTTGGTGTTTCTGCCTTGGGAACCCGCGAAGGGACGTAACATTATGATATACTCGTGCGTGCTATACGAGCCTCGAGAAAGATCGCGTAAATCTTGATTCGTCGAGCTTTAGACGTTCTGTTGCCAACTTTTGATGTCACCTCTTAATTTCGGTACATCAATTCGTTCCTGCCTTCTTAAATTTGCCCTCTTTTTCTCCCTTTGTTCTATACTTCTTCTGCGAAATCATTCGTCGTCGCGAATTATTCCGGTTTCTATCATAATTTATAGTTATTTATTTTATAAATTTTTGAATTACGGAAAGTTAACGTTGGTATTGAGACAGTATTGCGGAATTAATATATCGCGTATTCCTAGATATTCTTAGATATATAAATATGCCATTTTTCAAGCAACCATCACTCAAATAAACAATTTTTAGAAAGGTATGCAATTTCACTGTTACTATATTCGCACCATCTTTGTTCGACCAATGACTCCTGCCACTGAGAATTTAGCCACTGGAGGTTCGTCGAGTGGTCAAGGGCTAGGCGATACCGCTTTTGCGCTGTTACTCTATATCCCTATCTCATTACTCTGTAGTAGATGCGCGATACGCCAAAGGCCGCGTCTCTTCCCTGCTTCAGTTAATAACGACAAACGTTGACTGCCGCAGACCACCTTATACGGCTGTATATCGTAACGGGACTCGTAAGATCTGAGTGAGCGTCGACGGAAATACGTTTGGGAAATTAAGGTGCAAAATTAATATCCAGGGTGGTAGCGATCCTTGCGGTCGATACGCGGTCACCCACGGCCACCCGCGGTTTCCTATTTATTCACAGTGTTGCCTGAGCCTTGTCAGAGGGATATCTTCCACGGCCACTATTAACGATGACGAATCGCATACTGATAAATTATCCATTCGCAGACTTTTCGTGCCCTGCGTCTCCAGGGAGCATGCTCGCGAGGCAGTCCAGTCGGAAGAAATGTTGGCGCAACAAAATTAATTTGTTTCATCGTAGGCATATACCGCGGCGACTCACTCACGACAGATGGAATATCGCGCAGGGAGTGCCACCGATTAATTAGGAGCTGTCCAAGCGACCGTGATAAATAGGTTGCGTAACGGGATCATTAAGACCTCGGTAAATTTCAACTGAACTTGTAACGCGGTGTAATTAATGTGTAATTCGTCGCTCACCTGTAAGTAATTTCGATATAATAGTTTCGCGCGCGCGCGTCGAATAATAGGTTTAATATCCCATGCACCCCGCGGGCACGTAAAACCTTAAGGATTCGGGTAATTTTGACATTAATCATGGACCTTTGATAAAACAACATCGGAGCTATTGAAAACAGCTCTGGTCTCATCGAAATTGTAACTCGGAATTCCTGAATTAATGCGAGTAGCAAATTGTTTTTGCGAGCACAACCCGCTATGCTAGCATGAACTTCTCGGCTTTGCCATAAGCCGCGCTAATTTCGGCATTGTATTCGCTTTAAGTCACGGGATCACAGACGTTCTCGAAGCACGTGAACTGTGGTAATCTGTGTACAGTGGAACTTGTGAACACCTGTTCCATTTCAACACTGAGTGTAATTAGTCAATTAGTTGTTCTAGGCATATTACGAATTATGAACATCTTACTCTCTAAATCTGAATCAGTGAATAGTCACTGATATCAGTTTAGAGAGTAAATGTATTAGTGAATTTATCGGTTTAGTGTAAATATATCGCGTATTGCTGATTTTATTCTCTCTCTCTCTTTTTCTCTGATACGCTAAATTTATATAGATAGTTAAAATTCAGGTATATGCCCGATTAACACTATTTATTATTATACATATATACATATATTGTATATATTATACTAACAATATATTTAAAATTTGGTTTCAGCTGTACAAAAGGAGATTTCTTGAAACTATTTTTACATCTGGAGAGTAAGGGCATTTCTGAGTACACCCCTTGGTCCGGGGTGCTTTGCGGAGAACTGCGTGACATCCCGCAATTTCTTTACAGTTCGAGATCGACACTCATTCTGGAGTTTCACACTGAGGGTCCATCGTCTAATTCCACTGGCTTTTCCGGCACTTTTAGTTTCATCGATAGACGTGAGTTACAGTTTTTATATAAAATTAACTTTTTAAATGCGAATGCTAAGATAATATGTACATATAATAGCAATTCAATAGTTGTTCATGAATAAAGAATTTTAAGCAGAGTATGAAATGCAACTGATTAAAATATGATAATGTGTAAAAATCTCAATAAAGATTTTTGCCGTCGAAAATGATACGCGCGCAGAATCACTTGTATAAAAAATCAACATTTCCGGTGAAATAAAGCCGTTGCACATTCTTGGAAAGCTTAGGATAGAAAATAAACTGTATTAAGAGTGACGGTATTTTAACGGAAACTTTTTCGTTTCTCGGTCTGGAAAATTCGTTTGGCTTGAGAGAGTTTACTCAACCTCAAACTATTGCGTTTATCGAGAAATTTTAGATCTTGTTTTACAAAACTCTTTCAAGTTCACTTCTAAATCACTTCACAGCTTGATTGGAAAATTATTTTAAAGTTTATATCAACAAATCGCTACGAATAATTTAATAACATGTCTATCTCCAGATGACATTAATCAATACACATACAAGCTATATATATATATATATATATATTAGTTGAAACAAATTAATAGCAATCTCCTAACTTTACGATAAATCATTAGCAGGATTTTTCTCCAATAATAGTAGCCTATCTGTGGTTTCACGAAATTAAAGTCGCAAATTTTCAGGCCATACGACCAGTCTAGAAATTTTGTAGATTTTAAACCGACGGTTCGTTAGTAAGCGTTTCACGTATATAACTGCCCGACACATGCTTTAAACATGCTGTCCCGCGAACTTTTTATTTTGCTCACGTGTATGCAGTCGGCTTACGTATGCCACGAATAACAGTGACATAATTCTCCCACGGTGGGTGAGAGTTCCCTCTACAATTTGGAATCATTTCTGCATCTTTTTTTCTGCACAGGCTGCAGCGAGATCCTCTTTATGTTCCTACAACTTTCCGCGTGAAATTTTGTACTCCCCATGATAAAAAATACATCTCTCGCCCGAGATGCGACCAAACATGTGCGTTCTATTTTTTAATACCAATCTGATCATTGTTCTCGAGATTAACTGTAAATCACGCTCTCGCATCACATTTCTATGCATTTCCATGCAACGTCTTAACTCTTACTCTTACTCTTACTAAATATAAACAATAGCAAACAAAATTTGGGAAAAATTAAATAAAGGATAATAAAATTAATAACAAAAATTGGTTGCCAGCAGCTGACTGCGATTTAAGACTGACTATTATTTAGCCAGTCTAATATATCGTACTCTACAAATCCGAATTATATATTTAATCAATATTCGATGTTTTGAATTAGATGTTATAATTATTTCTCGGTATTTTATCAAAGTTTATAATACTAAATATGGGATAAAGCTCTTGACGTATCATAAGAAAAATACACTCGTGCCATCCCTATTACCCGAGAAACGTCACGAATCCATTTTGTTCGATCCATCATCCGATGAACACGTCGTTCGCGTATAAGCGGGAAAAATGATACTATCGACAAAAGGCATATCTTTCTTTTATATTTTTACACTCTGTTTTTAATATTTTATTTTTATCTATTAACCTCATATTTTTATTTTCTTTTTTTATCATCCAACGATAATAAAATCGTTTTAACAAATTAACATATTTTGCAAATTGTCTAAATATGTAGTCATATAAATTATAAACTAACTGAATATGTAAAATTAAAGTGTAATTTCTAATACAACACGCACGTCAAACCGAATAAAAATTTGAAAGAGAAACTACAGGAAAATGCTATTCATGTACGTAAAACTTTTGGATTTTTAAACGTTAATCTTCGCTGTACAGGTTTCGCTTGTTGGATCATATCGAGGAAAATATAGGACAAAAACTGAAAGAGAAGCCATTTATTTTCAAAATATTGTGTAATATACAATAGTTAAAAAACATTTTGAATCATATGTAAATGTGTAATATGTAGATGTTAATATATCAATAACTCATTGAAATTTTATAATTGTCAGAATTATTTGTGTTTAAAAAAAATTAATAATTTCAAACTAATTTAAAAAAAGTTCAAGTCATTATAATTTAGAACATTTATATTTGTCATTTTTAGCTTCCAATAAGTGAAAGAAGTCTAAATCATACAAATTTTAAATTTACTAGACGTCACAGGTTTTTAAGAGAGGGATTGATGTTTCTGATTGTAATTATATATATATAATCTTGCGTTATAATCTTTTTATATTTTTTGCTTTTTCTATTCGTCTTTTAATAATAGCATTTTTCTAATCCTAAAATATTGCAGCGCGTTAAAGTTGATAAGATAGTAATTATATAATACTATAGGCTAATTCATTTATTACGCTTCTTCGCCTACAATCTCAATCTCGGCCAAATCCGCCAATTAATGAGAAAATTGCGAAGGCGTCTCCTTGGCGCGGTTACTAAAAATATCGTTCCTCCCTTCTAAGAGATTAACAAGGATATTCCCGTTTTCCTTGGATAATTATCTAAAGTTTAACGCGATGAGTTTGATGAACAAGTTTCTATATGATATAACATGCCATGTTATTTTACAAGAACTATTACATCCTTGTTTGTACGATCCGATCGAAATAGAAAAGAAAAAATAGATTTTAAAGTAATATCAACAATAGAACATAGATAGAGAAATGTCAATAACTATTCACAATGCACAAACTTATAATAAGAGAATATCTCTCGGAGAATTCGGAACTAGGAAAGTTACAGTCAAAATTCTAACAAGTTCGAATGCTTATCGTTATTGATAAAATGTGCCATAATTGCGATAGTCTAGATAGGGAGGAAATATGGATCAAGTCGGAAAGTCCTTCGGCTATTTGTGCGATATTGATTATAAAGCGAGAAATTTAGTCTAGACTATTTTCACAAGTTTTCTTACCGGCGGCGCCCGCGCCAGGCTAATTACTTGGAGAGCGTCGAGCTCGCACCGAGATATCGACTTCAACTCGATATTCCGTTATCAGGATTCATTTTATATTTTCCGGCAATTAAAGGGCATCAAACTAATACATATTTCGATATTCGTTACGTTCGAATGTCTTTAAGGGAGATGCTGTGCGATCGATAAATTTAATGGTGCAAAATTTTCCATTAGTTTGTTAAAATTTTTTGATAAAAGTTAGTATAATTAGTATATGGCTTGATAAAACGTTGGATAAAAATAAAATTTGATTTAAAGATAATAAAGGTTAAGATAATTATTTTGACATTAATTATTAAACTATTTTGATATAACAATCACATAATAGTCACATCACATCACATCAATAATCACATATGAAATAATAATAAATAAAATTGATTTCTGTCGACTCATTGAAATCCTCTGAAAATATATATTTTGGCGGTATTCGTTAGTTTGTTCACATAATTTGATTATTAAAATCCTTGATAATATTTTCGGTAATTCCATCCAGGGAATTCCCCAAGGGTAAAAATTCACTACGCGATCTCTCTTATGCAATCCCACCTTGCCATGCGTATTTTCCGGTTTCTCGTACCTTAGAGACATCTGATACGAAAAGTACTTAAACTCGTAAAGTTTTTCAGACTGTCGAGAGTTAAGGTAAATCTTGCCTTACGGAAAGCAGGTTGATGGTACGAAACTTTGACTCGGGATGTCTATCTATTTCACGGCCTCGTAAACAACTTCGTGTATCATTATGAGTTTTACCGTAAGGACGAATATTCCTCACGATGAAGAAAGTTAATGAAACCAAGGAAAGGAAAGAAGCTTATGCAAAATGCGCCATGTTTCGTTTAAAGATTAAAATAAGGTTTATATAGCCTGATATAACGTTTTAAATACTAAAACGATTTATTCGAAGGTAAAATATCGCGCTTGTCCAGTTTTGAAAAAATTATCAAACATATTTTTAGCATGGGAATACTTTGGATATTGATCAGGCACTAAACTTGGCTCACTTCTTCTGCATTTCTCCTGCGGGAAATGAAACACATATACTCACGTCTATTATCTTATATATATATGGTTTAAATTCCTTTATTATTTTATTACGAAATATGAAATGTTATTTTAGAAAAACTGTGGAAGCATCGTTTTTAATGGTGGATATTCCCTAGGAGTATTATTTTGTACATAAATCGTTTTAAGCTTAATTCTTTCATTATTTTTGCATTTTCTACTAGATTGCAGGATTTCTCTAAATTTTGCATGCAGTCGTATGGTTAGATATATATTTTTCAAAATGTTTACATAACAAGATACAATTTATACAATTTTGAGATAAGTAATGTTGTATCTGAATATTATAAGTTTTATCAAAAATATAAAAATATTTCGATAGAATTACATAATGCATGACTATGTTGAAGTTTTTCCGTGTTCCTTTCATTAAATGTAACATTACGATGCGGCTGAGCATAATTTTAAAACAAACTTTGGTAATGCATTATCCGCGTAATACGCTCGTGCGGATATTATCTATGAAGTATATGGTAGCATGGTAGGCTGCCGAAATGATGGAAGAGTTCAAACACGAGAACGTTACACGAAACAGTACATCCTGTTTTAACCGCTGCATTGTCTGGGTCCACAAGCCATATGCAGCAGTGCAAACAAATGCATCGCAACTAAGCTCAATCGCTCCAATTGCCTTAATTTGCACCGAGGCGGATAGATTGATAATGAATCGCAAGCGTCATTACGCAATTAATTAACGAAATTCAATTGCATACGCGTGGGAATAACGACGACGCGAAATCGCGGCTTGGATTTTCGTTGCGCCCCGATGGAAATTACGAAACAGCAATGTGTGCAAGTTTGATCAGCCATAACAACGTAAACAAATATTGACACTTTCGCACAAGCGGGTGGGTTCAGTTTGAAAAACGAAAATCTCAGCTGCGTTCAAGTTTATTCGACTGTTGTTTGTCCATGATAGTAGGTCGTCCCGGTCCGATGAACGATCGAGCAATGCAAAATTAATTTCAAATGGAAACA